TTTTTTTTTTTTTTTTTTTTTTTTTTTGAAGTGGATCACTGTTCTATACAGGCTGCTATTTAATCAATAGTATTTCGAAAGTGTAGTGATGCCAGAAAGAGCAAAAATCTTTTTTGGTATCCACCATTGATACGTTGCAGAAGGACGTTGTAGGGAGCTTTATTGTGGCGAGTGCTGAATTTTTTCAAAACATTCTACGGCGGTATCACCGTTTACTATTTTTTAAATATTTTTAATGTTGTTTTTTGTTGTTCTTCAATTCGCGGTATACATTCTTCTATCATTTTTGTAAAGCTGTTTCGTTTTCTTAAGCAAGACTTTTTTAAAAATTAAATTCAAATTTCTTTTCTAACTTTTGGCAAGATAGACTGTTTGAAGATAATTTTCAGTAGAAAATGCGGCAATCGAAAGCGTAAGGTGTAAGGGAACTGAATATCTCTTTCGATTGTTCAGATTCCTCTTGAATACTTGCCACCTTTTGTCTTTATTCTAGACGACATCTTAACAAGTTCCACTCTTGTGAATTCCTCTGTAAATATTAAAACTGTATTAACTTTGAGGAACATTATGGAGCAGTCATTATATGAGAGATTTAAAATACTGTAGCAGTAAGGTAGAGGATTTTGCCATTGGTTCTTCTACTTTTCTGGTACTCATCCTTTGAATTGGTTATTTCCGGCAAACTCTTCTGATCGTTACTGGAGGATTCCAATTAAAACCTTAGATTTCATTCAAATATAAATTTGAAAGAATAAATTTTAAATTTCGTTTAAATTAAATGAGGTTCAAATTATTCAGTGTACGTAAGGTAAGAAAGGTCTTTTGAAAGACATTAGTTCCTGTTTAATCACATATCTGGTTACCGAGTCATCTCTCAATTAAAAGAAGATGAAAAACATTATAAAAATGTGAGGGATTCTATTGGTACCTTTTTCTACTGTGACAAGGAGTGAAAATTGTAAAGTACAAGCCTGTAGGGACTGAGATCACACTGTGACATACTACTTATGGCTCTGCTCTTTTGAGCGAAAATATTCCTGTAGTCCCCAGTGCTTACCTTCAAAGAAGTTCCCATAGCAAAAAAGAACAGGACTTTTCTGTAGTGCGTTTAATGAACTTGCATGTCAATGTCTTCACTGCAACTGGCATCATTTCTTAATCAAATGTGAGCAAAATTTCCCTCAAATAAACTGATAGCACTAAGCGCTTACTTAAATTCCGCTTCATTCATTATTGATAACACGGTGGTATCTGACTTCATATTTAGGAAAAATGTCTTTACAGGCTACCAGCTGAATAGTGCCTCATTTTTCTTCATCATGACAAATTTTTCGGAAGAAGAGTCAGTAAAGTTTATCCTACAAAAAATTTTTATTTAGATTTTAATTTCTAATTTTGCCTATCGTTACCTTATCTATATTTCAGCAATTTCCTCTGTCATTTCTTGGGGCTAGTAGTTCCAATTAATAGCAGTTTGAGCCCTTACTGAAATATAAAGAAAATTAGTTTACTAGTTTTTTTGTTTTATTAAGAACTTTGACAAATTTTCTTGTCTTCTTCCAGCAATTTGCTTCTCTTTGCTGTAAACTGTCCTCTCCATGTATTTCAATCAGCAAGTTCTCTGTCATCAGGCAAGGTCATGGAAGATAATGAGACTCTTAATCCTCGACTGTATCTCTGACGTGCTGGAAGTAATAGCGATGGTTGTGTTAATATCTTGAACAGTAAGTTTAAACATTCTTTTATTTTACATTTAATTTTATTCGGTATTTGGGACATGTTAATGTATGAACAGGATTTTTAAATTTTTTGTACAGGCAGATGTGAAATGTCATCTGAGCTTCGCCATTTACATCTTCACCTGTCTGTTAATTCAAGACTTTTAAAACGATCCACCAAAGTTGTCTAATTGGACTAAACTTAGCGCAAAGATTGTAACCTTAATACAGATTAGGTGTAAGCAGCATACGAAATAAAGAGTTGTTTGGTGATTACGTGCATTAAGCTCAAATGCAGCAGATGTTTTTTTTAATGTTCTAAAAGAGGCTTAAAAGATCGTAACTTTCGGCTACTTGACTATTAGTTAGCTAGTTTTTTGGAGGAATAATGAGGACTAGCTGTATCTGTAACATAGGCCTCAAGTTATTATGTTTTGTTTTCTGTTTGCATAAAGGTATAACAATCACTAACGCAAAAATCTTAAAATGACAGAGTGTAGAACTACAAAAATTATTTTTTAGGAATCTCAGATTTAAATTATCCAGAAATAAAGGCGTCTTTACCAAAAAAAACTTCTGTTGTTTACTAGAATATTATTTAAAAGACGGAAAAAATGCCAATTTATATCAGGATTTTATACCTGCAAGGCCGAAACATCGCCGCAGTAAAAGCAGCAGACATTTACCGACTGATATACGTATGAACTGCTGCTGTTCGTTGAAAGTTGTGGTGCCAAATAACGAAAAGCAATAACTTCATAAATTGTTGCGCGTGGCACGCTGCCAAATTCGTATTTTTTTTTTTTGGCGCACTTCATACAAATACATATAAGTGAGAAACTTATGCTTTAGTCGATAGTGAACAATGACTAGCTTGGAGTGGATTTGAAGATTAGAATTGTATAAAGGTCTTGTCTCCCATTTTTTTGATCTTCTGTCTGGTGATATACGAGGTGGCGAGAATATACTTTTGTTCAGGTTGGTTTAGATTACTTACTATTCATCTCTATAAACTGTTTAATATCAGTTCCCGGAGTAATCCCATTAGTATTAAGTAATAAATTCCAGTTTTGTGAGTGCTGATAATAAATTTATTTCCTTTTGTTGCATTCTTTTTGATTGTTTTCGAAAACATTTGATTCTGTTGATCGTATTCGCGTCATCAATTTTCGCTGTGAATTAACTTTATTAAATAGTAATTAGAAGAGAATAGGAAAAACACTAAATGCTAAAATCTTTTTCTGTGAAATTTGTGAAACGTTTCAATCGTATACCGCATACTACTGTCGGGCAGTTTAGTCACATGCGCTCGCTGTAGTTCTTAAAGCCTTTCCCTCTCCTTAGCGTTTTTTCCACACAGTTCTACGTCGTGAATATTTCTAAGAGGTGCCCAGAAATTTGGTGTGAGTTGTTGAATAAAGTTCAAGTTTTTTTTTTCTTTTAAGTGAAGGGATTAAGTTTAACAACTTAGTTGATGGGTGCATGACGTGTGTTTAACAACGGGAGAACTGTTCAATTAGAAGTAAATTTTTTTTACATTTTTAAATGGAAAGAACATTGAGGGAAGGTAGCGTTGATAATGCTTCAAGGATTGATAAAGAATTTTAAGTTTTAATTTTCACGCAAGTTATCCCTCTGTCTCGTCTTAGACAAGTTATTAAATTTAAATTTGTTTAGAAGACATAACACTGTTAACAAAAGGATTTTTTAGATGATGGGTATTTGTTGTCACCTTATCTCATAAAAATTCAAAGGTTGTTGTAGGGTTTATTTGATAATTTTGAGATGAAGGATAACATTTCTTCCGGAAACTAAGAATTTGACGGATTGGCGTTTCTTTCTGAAGTTGTTTTGCTTGTAAACTAGAGCAAAAACCTTGTTACTTTACTGCATGGAATGCTGTTCTGATTGTATTGGATTTATTTACCCTTTGTTTTTTGAAAAAATTATTTGCAAAGTTAAAATCTTCGTTTTCGTAAAGGCTGTTAGCAGAACTTCAATGAGAGTGCGTCAATGAATATTTTTGACTGCAACTTTGCGTCGGTGGAATGTTGCGCAAACTTAATGTTGATTGAAAGATCTACTTACTAACACTTATCACTATCAACTATTTTCACTGTCAACTATTTTATCAATTTTTTTGTGGAATTTTAAAGCAGCAACCTACGTTGGTCTTTTGACTAATTTTTTACTTTCGATATAATAAACTTATGAACATTAAAGGTCACAGCGTTTAAAGGGGAAAATCTATTACTTTTTGATTTCATTGACAGATTAAAAAAATTTGGCTTTCAGTTGCTAATATTTTGATTATTTCAGCCTAATTTTTCAAATCCAGTGGGCTTCTTCTGGGAAGTCGGGTTCTTGCTGTCATCATAAAGGTGGGTTTTTCCACTTATTATTGCCTTAGTGGTAGATCTTGTTGTGGTGAATTTAATCAGTTTTTTGAGAAATTTTTTGGTATGAACGTAAGGGACTTGATTTGTGAGAATTTTCAATTGAGCGATTTTAACCTGGTTTCCTTTGGTACTTCGTTAGTAGGGAACAGCTTTTACATTCTTCCATGCAGAATATGATGGGAGCCGATACCATGTTGCCAAAGGTGTTTTCTCTGCGTACTTTTGCCGATCCACGAGTTCGATGCTCAGTCATTTGCTTCATGGCTGCTGTTGTGGTTGCAGCAACATCATTTTTTTACATTTCATTGACCATCTGGCATGCTGCTCTTGTCTTCTTAATCCTTCCCTCGTTTTTGTTGCCGATTAATGGTTGGAAATTATGGCAGTATTCGTTGCAGTCTGTGATACTTGGCTTAGTGTTTACTTATTCTCTGCTTATTGCATATTGGATTCATGATCGTAAACTTTCTATTTTCTTCTCTTATATGACCTGTTTATCAATGTTTCATTACTTGGAATTTTTTTTTACTGCTCTTACAAGCCTTGCAACACTTGAATGTTCCTCTTTTCTTCTAGATCATTCTTTAATGTATTGGGTAGCCGCTGTTGGAAGCTGGGTTGAATTCTTTATGGAATATTTTTTATTTCCACAAGTGAAAGTTATTTACGTTAGCTTCTTTGGTTTGTTTATGGTTATTATTGGGGAAGTTTTTAGGAAGTTAGCTATGGTTCATGCCGGGAGCGCCTTCACCCACGTTGTTGTCAGATATAGGCGAGTTAATCATGTTTTGGTTACTAACGGAGTTTACTCATTAGTACGGCATCCTGGTTATGCGGGATGGTTCATTTGGTGCATTGGTACACAAGTTTTATTGTGCAACCCTATTTGTGTTGTTCTTTACGCCATTACTGCTTGGTTTTTCTTTAAAGAACGTATTTTTTATGAAGAACGATTGCTTTTACAGTTTTTTGGTGATCATTATCGTGTTTATCAAAAAAACGTACCATTGGGAATACCATTTATTCGTGGTTACTCTTCGGAAACATGACCCTTATTTCATTCTTTTTACAGATCTCTTTTTGTTGCATTTTACTTCCAGTAATTACCATTGCCGAAATCATTTTAAATTCCATATCTAGCATAAATTTTTTAGGGAAGGAAAAATATTGTTTAAGAATATGAAATACGGTCGGGGTTAAATTACAATTTCAAAATTTAGACATTTATATATTTGAAATTAGCGTTATTGCTAGTTTCCAAATTTTGTTCCAGATCCGCTTTTGACTTTATGCCCTTGTCGGGGTGTTTCGTCGTATTTTTTCCTGTTAGTTTAGGTTGACTTTTTGTTGGATTGGGATATTCGTAATCCCCTTTTCTATCATGCTTGAGGTATCAGAAATTTTTTATTCTTATCAGTGCGGTGGAGGAGGTAGCTTTCTTTTTATGCTGCTTTTATTTAGCTCTATAAACGTGTTTTTTTTTAAAATTATTGTTTGATAAGTAGTACATTAATGATTGCTTCAAGTTTAATAGGCTGCTTTTGATTAACTATTGTCTTGTTTTAAATTTCTTTGTTGATTTAATTGGAACCGTTACGCGTTAAAAGCGAAGTGCTTTAATTGAGTTGTTGTACGGTTACAGGAAGTAAAGTTTTAGGATGTCTAAGCGAAATCCAAACATACGGTATGATGATTTAGACTCGGAATTCGATTATGGTAGTGAAACGGAAAAAAAGAAAAAACGATACGGGGATGAAATATACAAAAAAGTAAGGCCTGGTGAAGTGCCACCGGTCAACAGGTCACAAGCAAAACATTCGTTTGACGATGAGCATGGCCGACTTGAAAGGTTGGTTTTACATTTGTGATTGTTGGTTGTTTCTACTTAAAGGTCATAGTATTTTAAAATTCTTTGTCTGAATGCTATAAAAATTTTGGAAGAGGAACTATTAAGTTATTTTCTAGGCAGAAGCGTCGATTGTTAACTCTGGACGTATATTCTCGTCACAAAGAGTTGATTAATCAGTACTTCCTGTACTATCCTGGAGCGACAAAAAGATTGAAACGAGATACATCTAAAGATCGGAATGATTATGATGTTATTCGTGATAACCATAGATTTCTTTGGGATGAAGAAGAGGTACACATTTTATTTTCAAAAAGAAACATTTGGTACTGGTTTTAAGGCCTTCTTTGGCAAATTATGAACCAGTAGCGAGAGTTGGAAAAGCATTTGATGTGTAAGCTAGCACAAGAAGGCAAAGGTATTTATTTACTGGCTTGTTAGTGAAACATCTTCAAATTGGATATCATTTTTCCAGTCAAGTAATCTTGGAATTTCAGCTTTCAGAGGCAGCAAAAAAGTCTTGGGAGGCTCGCCTGGCGAAAAAGTATTACGATAAATTGTTTAAAGAATACTGCATTGCGGACCTTTCTCACTACAGGAAAAACAAGTATATCCGGCCTTTATATACTTGTTGATATTTCTTCACCGTAAGAAGTTATTTTAAATAGATTCAAATCTTCAGAAGGCTATTTTCAGGATAGCTTTCCGATGGAGAGTTGAAGGTGAAGTTCGTTCGGGGAAAGGTCAGTTTGAGTGCGGGAACAAGCGTTGCGATTCAAAGGAGGGTTTGACTAGCTGGGAAGTCAGGTTTTTCGCTTTTACTTTTGAAAAATTATAGAAAATGTTAGAAAGATTCTTGCAGAAAATATTTTACCAACTTCACTTATCCAGTGGCAATGGACATTTAGGTTAACTTTGGGTATATTGAAAATGGTGAGAAGAAAAACGCGTTGGTCAAATTACGATTATGCCCGGACTGTTCACAGAAATTGAACTTTTACAGCAACAAAAAGAGAGCGCAGAAATCTAAAAAGGAAAGAAAGTCAACGAAGATGGCAGAAAATTTCTTAGATAAATTGTTAGTTTTTTTTTTTCGCCAAACAATTTTGGCGAGACCCGCTATAAATTCCCTTTTACTTTTTGCTGTGTTAAAAAGGAAGTTTAGAGCTGTAATTCTACTTTAGCATTTTATTCTCTCTGAACCTAGGTTAATTTTCGCTATTTATGTCTAGGAGAATTGCAGTTATACTAATAATTTTTTTTTTTTTGGCGTAGCTAGTTTCAAATAATATTTTTTCTGGAAGTCATTATTTGCAGAGAACTAAAAGTTTCATTGATTTCGTTAAATAGCTTTATCGTGGGAGATTTCGCGGTGGATGAAAGCCCTGTACTATATTACATATTTAATTGGTTAGGTTTTTTGTGAGCTTGAGTATGACGCATTATTTAAAAAAAAATACGTTTGCTTTCAGTGTTGAAATTAATTTCTTATTGACGGTGATCTTTAAGATCCTCTAATTATTTCCGTTTTTGTACTTTCTTATTTCTTCAAGTTTTGTCTGCGCTTAGAAAACCTTTATTTGAGTCGAAAAGGTCACTTGATTACTCAATGGTTTTATATACCATTTATTACTGGCTTTGCCTAAGCTTCTTCAAGTCTGTTAGGCAAGGCGAAAAGTTTTTTTTACAAGGACGCGTAAAATTATCTTTTTCTTTGTTTCATATTAAGCTGAGATTTTTACAGGTCAGAAGAATTAGAGACGCAGGTGAAGCAGCAGCCGCCACCATCTCAAGAGGTGGATTTGAAAGAAGCGGATCAGTCAGAGGGAACTAAAAAACCAGATGTTGATACCGAAGCTCAATTGAAAGCACAAGCAAAAAAAATGGCAGAAATATGGAAAAAGCCACAGGAACCAGTGGACCCGGAAAAGCTTGTTGAGGCAGAACTAGACGAGTTTTTAGAAGACATGTTCATGTAACATAGTTTTCTGCCTTAGTGTGTTTTTACTTTCAGGGACGTTTCTGAATCCCTTGAGTTAACTTAACAGCCGTCTTAAGCGTAAATTACAAATAGATTAGTAGGTGTTAAGCAAAGAAACCAGATTAAGGTCAGCAGCAACGATGAAGCAAAAGTCTTATAGCAGTTAGTTAAAAAGCCAATGAGGAGCTCACTTGAGGCCCATTTTTATATGAATGAATTGTATGGAACTTCTTTTGCTGAAATTTTGGCTGTGTCTTGTCTATTACTTTCTCAAATCTAGTTAAGTTAATTTTGTTTAGTTGTACTTTGTAACCAGATGTCACATTCGAACTTTAAAACGTATGACTAGACTTGGCTGGAAGCGGTTTTAGTATTTCTTTCATAAAAAAGGTGGTGTTTCGACACGGACTTTAAATTCTTTTTCTTTTGCGGTAGGGAAAAATGGGTAGGTAAAGGATATAAAGCGTGTATTTGTTTCGTTCATGCTGAACTTTGATTCGTTTTGGATGTCTGTTTTGTTTTCCTATATGTTATCAAATCTCTTAGTTGCCTCTAACCAGTTCTAGCATGAGGCATTGCAAGCCATTACACATGGCCAATTTTCCTCTTTACTTTACGTTGCCTTACATTTTTTTCAATAACCTGTTTGAACTGCTGCTGTAGTTAGCTAAATTAATTTGTCCAGTGAAAAAGATGATAGTTTTTGAAATGGCGTGCAAGTAAGAGTTGTTTGGGAATGAGACGAGTCAGATAATCGGGTTTTTTGAAATTAATAATTTGGTGGGAAGGAGTAAGAGTTTTTGAGGATCATTGTCTGTCTCTGCAAATGGTAACAAGAAAATTAGCGATTGACAGGTTGAGGCTTGTTGAAGGTAAATTTTCTGGACAAAGTTCAGAGTCATTTACAGATTTAAGTTAGTTTATTTTCGAAGTCAGGTATGAATTGCGAAAAACTATAGTTTACATCGTGGATTAAGAGTTCTTTCTTAATTTTGAAGAATTGTGTTTTGAAGCTTCCTCTTTTTTTTGGGGAGAAGTGGTTGTTTTAAAAGCTGCTACTGTTGTATGATAAGACTTTTCTAAACTAGACGACTTTTGGTAAGTGATGAGTGTAGGAAAATAATTGCGGTATTAAAAAAACTCAAATGAAAGCTGTTTTTAATTGCAGTGTTTTGGGGGATTGTGGTGTTAGCCTTTAAAGAATGAGTTTGGCGTAAGGGATGTGTTTAATACTCGATTTAGCTGAATGGTGAAGATCAAAAAGGAAGTCAGAAATTTACAGCAAAAATAGTCATCTCATGATTTCTTTGATTTATGTGATAAATTGCTGTTTTTATAGTTCTTCCAACTTACAGAATTTGCTTTCTAATTTAGAATTCACTGGTGTTTTGAGTATGAGTGATTTAATGTTTTTTAAAGTGGTCTTCACTTTGATGTTTTCGTGTTCGTTTTCCCCACGATGATAGTAGTGAATCTGGAATTAGCGTGAAAAATTTCCTTTTGTGCCACGGATTTTCACTGTCGTTGCTTCTCTTTTTTCCTTATTTATTTTTGGTTTTGTGTTGTTCAGTTTGCATGAGACATCGAAACCATTAAATTTGCTTTGTCGTTTTTCTCTCATTCTTTCAAATGCCAGCTTGTTTAACCATTTAGAATAATTGCTTGCTTTTCTTCACTTTTTCTGGCGGTAAGAAGACTTCTTCCAAAAAAATTTGGAATGGAATATTGAATGTAATATATATATGATATTGAACCACATTATTTTTCTTTTCGATAAATTGAATTTTGAGTAACGATGTTTCAGTGGTTGGCTGTTTGTAGTTTGGCAGGAGGAGCGACAAAGGGAATTAGTAATCCTCTGTCTGGTTTTTTTTTAACTTTGTAAGGGCATTTACTGGCAGTGACTGTAGTAGGATGTTATCAGCTTCGAAACTACCAATTTGTTACTGTTGGTTACCGTTTAGGATGTGGGGATGTCGAAACTAAAAATATTTTGAACAAATTTTTTATTTTGGCGTTCGGGATGTTTGGTTGATAATTTTTTCTAAAACGATGCGGTGTTTTGGACTTCGCAGACGGTGTTATTACCCAGTTGGCTTTGGTGACAGAGAGGCAAGTGTTCTTGGGTCCATGTAGTGTTTAACAGCGTATTTCGTGTTAAAAGAAGTTTCTAAAAAATTTAGCCTATTATGGTATGGTCAAAAATTATCTCGTCTTTGAACAACATAAAGTTAACTTGGGGAGAAGACAGTCTTTACTTAAATACTTTATATGGTGAATGTCAAAGCAGATTGGTGACAAGCGAAGCACGTGGTGCTGCAACATCTGAAACAGCGAGATTCTTTTGCCTTTGGAAGTTTGATCCAGTCGCACCAACTTGAGCTGCACAGTGTTATGGCACAAAGTGTAGGTCAGCAGCCGTCAGCGGAGTTATACTAAGGAAGTGTGCTGCATATTTCTTTCATTCAACTCCGAGTAAAGCGTCTTGGTTTAGATAATAGGTTTTGCTTACTTAAATCAACTATAAACTGGTTTTTTATATATGTATTGTCAACAGGTCTCGTTTTTGAGCTAAATAGGTCGATACGTTTGTGACGTGGTGTTATGTAGATGTTAATTGCGCTGTTAGAAAATATTTTTACAGTACCTGAATAGATTATGAATTTTGTTCTAGCCTTCCAGTTATCAATATAGGAATGGAGTATGGAGTGAAAGCGACCTGTATGACAATGTGTCCAGAATCTGAAATTGATTTTAGATGTAAGAATGGTTTGATTCATCCGTTGGAAATGGCCAGTGGGACTTCGTTCCAAACTTGGAAAAGGTGACTGCAAGTTACAGTATGATTTTGCGACTTTGAGAAAAAGCTGTCGGAGGGGCCGCGGGGTTTAAATGTTTCCATTTGGTTTTTCAGCGTGGTGGTTGGCTAGAATTTTTTGAAAACTTGCTAGCTAAACAGTTAAATGTAATACTGTATGAACAATAACTGTTTGATGATAGTGGACAAGAATTTGAATAAAAGTTTAGGTATGACCTTTGATAGGTGAGCGTAGAGAGTTCTAAATTTTGTGTAATTCGTCGCATTATTTCGACATTTACAACAATCTCTCTTGCAGGTTTCCTGCATCGAAAGCTGATCCTGAGAAGATGGTCAAGCAGTATTCGAGGTATACCTTATCGATTAGACAACTTAAAATTGGTTGTTTGTTAATTTTGCTCAATTCTTTTAGCTAAAGAGATGTTAGCTTTTAAAGTTTTAGTTATATTTATGGTTTATTTGTAAGTTTGAGTAAGGCAATATACTTTATGAAATTAGTGAGTGTGTTATTGCATCCCACACTTTTTTTTTTAAAGTACTATAGGCGCCGTCATTCCTAGTTTCCATTTCGTGGCAGCACTAGAGTTACCGTGGTACGGCCGGCCAGCAAGTTTTGAAAATGCTGGCCACTGG